AGAAAGGCTCCAAGAAGGCGGTGACCAAGGCGCAGAAGAAGGACGGCAAGAAGCGCAAGCGCAGCCGCAAGGAGAGCTACTCGGTGTACGTGTACAAGGTGCTCAAGCAGGTGCACCCCGACACCGGCATCTCGTCCAAGGCCATGGGCATCATGAACTCGTTCGTCAACGACATCTTCGAGCGCATCGCGGGCGAGGCGTCGCGCCTGGCGCACTACAACAAGCGCTCCACCATCACGTCCCGCGAGATCCAGACGGCCGTGCGCCTGCTGCTGCCCGGCGAGCTGGCCAAGCACGCCGTGTCCGAGGGCACCAAGGCCGTCACCAAGTACACCAGCTCCAAGTGAGCGCCGCGGCCCGGCTCCCGACCCCAAAGGCTCTTTTCAGAGCCACCCACGTCCTCACATAAAAGAGCTCTAATGCAGGCACTGTTCTTACTCATAAGGAGATTCCATGTAGATAATGTCTGGACAAATTGACTTAAGATCTATGAAGCAACCTCTTAGGGCTCGTATGTTTTCTTTTTTGTTTTTGTTTTTTGTTTTGTTTTTGCTCCATTAAGATCCGGAGCAGCTTTGTGAGATTAGTTTCTGGCATATAAGGGATTGGGCGGTGGCTATGGACCCAAAAGAAGTTTCTTAAAGAGGGCCTGGGGCTCCAGCCGGGTGATAGGAAATTCACACTTTGAGACTGAAGCAGGTTTTACAAAAGGAGAGAAGGGAACTGAAAACAGGACAAGCAGAAGCCCTGTGGTTGTGGGTCACGTCTCTGGCTTTGGCAGTCTTTGGAACCGGCTGAGAATCCATGCTGCTTCAGCTGTGGAACGTCAGCATGGCCTCAATTAATACAAAGACACCCTGAAAGTTGGGCTTCCAGGTGATGAGTGCGAGGTGGGCTTGGTGCAGATCTGACTGCCTGGGATTCTTCCCTCTCTGCAGCGAACCTAGGAAACAGTTCACTTCCTGACACCCTATTCAGTTTCAGAAAGGGACAAATATTAGGAAGAGAGCTGTGTCCTAACGGGCTCGCTGTCTCATTTGGACATTTAAGGTGATTAGACAAGGGGGTAGCGTTGCCAAAAGCGGACGAGACTTCACCTTACATTTCCTAGTTCCCTGGAGGCAGTTCTGGGAGATGGAATAAGAGAGATGACGAAGGAAGACAGCAGGAGAGAGGGGTTAACCAAAAGTGTGGAGTGCCATTTTCAGTGTATTGGCTGTAGCGGACAGGTGGAGATTATTTGGTCCAACATGTTGGCTCTAGGAGAGATGCAGGGCCTCCCATCGCCTGGGCCCCTTCCCTCAACTCTGGATCTCCAGTCCACCGTCTCAGGGAGGGAGAGGGAAAGGGAAGAGAAAGGGAGAAAGATGGGAGAAACATGAAACCAAGGATTCAAGTAGTGTGTCTGCCCATGTGCAATTTATCTGAAATGTGTTGACTTGCTCAATCTCTTTCCCCTTGTCCCTGGCTGTCTCTTTAAAATTCATTTAGTGCAATTAAGTCATGGAACGGGGGGAACTTTCATTGGTCTGTGACCCTTTCTGTTCCGTCACCTTGGAAATGGCTGGCCTGGCAGTGGGTTCGGAGGCCACCATGGCATTAAGGTGATCTCCCCACTTCGGCATTCTTCACTTGCCCTGACCAAGATGGTTGCACCAGCTGCAGCCCTCACATTCAGATTGTCTTGAAGGAAGAAAAAGGGGGCAAGGGTACACCCTTACCATTGTTTTTTTTTAACCCTGAGGGATGGTATAAGATACCATAGACCAAAAATATTGTTCATACTTTGCTGCAAAGGAAGGTTGGGGGGGTGGTTAATTACTAAACAAGAAAGGAAAGTAAATTTCAGGGGACAGGACACAGGTCATGTTTAAAGGCAAAAGGGAACATTGGAGAATTCTTAAGTCTTCAGAAGGACACCTTTCCAGGACAACGTAAATCCTACCTAATAAAGAGGGAATATGCTATTTGACCATCACTCCGTCACAAAGATGGCTGCACCCACAGCTGAGACCAAGTTTCCAAAAAGAGCCTTAACAAGCAATCAGCAGTCGTGGCCGGGAAAGATGGCAGGGCAAAGCCAAGGGGGGGGGGGGTGGGGAGCAATCAGCAGGAACCTGAGACTATGCCCTCCTGTGCCCCCATGGGGCTTGACAGGGGACCTCAAGGTGCACCCCCAGTCCTGGGTCGGGGAAACTCAGGGTGTGCCCCCACCCAGTGAGGCTTGATGGGAGACCTGAGGCTGCACCCCCTCCCGGTGCTGGGCCAGGGGACCTGCGGTGTTTGATGAAGGACCTCAAGGCTTGCCCACACCCCCCACCCAGACCTGGTCCTGGTGCTGGGCCAGGGTATCTGAGGCTACACACCCTGCTTGGCAGGGCTTGACAAGGGTGGGACTGGGTGGGTCTGGATCTCGCCTAATGTGGGGAGCCAGCTGGGTGTGGGTCTCACCTGATTTTGAGCTGAATGTGGTGGGCGGGGACTTGACTCTGGGTCCAGTGGTGAGTCCCAGACTCTGACAGGAGGAAGGCTTTCCTATACATTTTACTAATTTCCTTTCATCTCTTACACTTCTATTATAGAGAAAGGGCAAATAGCAATATTAAATCATTTCCTCTAATTAATCCCCTTTGAATGTACATGAATTTCATGCACCAGGCCACTAGTGAATTATAAATACAAAAAAGATTTGTTTTTGTGGGAGAGAAAATAAGATAATAAAACTCGTTAAAATTAAATTATTTTCGGTAAACAGTGCTAGAGAGCATATGCAGCTGTGTGCAGTCAGCAAGAGAATGAAAGGTCAGACTGTCAGACTCAATGCCGCCTGTAGACAGGATCAGACTGAATTTGGAGTCGAAGTAGTGATTAAAACACTCTACTGTTTTAATATACTTTTTAAGCATAAAAATCTGATACAGAAACTCCAGTCCTATCTGCCTCGATCCTGTCATTTTTTCCCTCAGCTAACTAAAGAAGACAAACCAAGTTCTAATGAGCAGTCCGCAGTGAGACCTCAGGTCTGTAATAAAGTCAAATGGCCTCAGGTCACGTTGTTGCCGGTCACTGCTTTAGAGAACAGCTAATTCTATGCCGGGAATAAACATACAATTTGTGAATGCTTGCTTCTGCTGAGAGTTCACAGAGGCGGCCTTTCTCACTGACACCAAAAACACCAATTTAAAGAACAGGTTCCTGAGACGCATTCATGAGAATCACCCCAGGAGAACTGGAACCGTGTTCATTGAGGGGTCTGGGTGGGTCTGAGACCACATTTCTAACAAGATCCAAGCTTTGCCCAAACTGCTACTTTCCCCCAGCCTGTCAACAGAGCCCTCTGTTCTGCCACCAATACACTCATCAACGGGCATAAACAATGACCTCATTTTTCTGTGTGAAAAAGGACAAATGAAGGATAAATATTTCACAGGAAAAACAAAGATGCCTCACTTCTACCTGTACATTGAAATGGGAATGACGTGTAAAAAAAAAAAAAAAGCAAAAGCCGCCCCAGCTGCTGCAGCTGTTATAGAGCCTTGGCCTGGGAACCAGGAGGTCACGGTTCAATACCTGGTTGAGGCACATGCCCAGGTTGTGGGCTTGGTCACTGGGGTGGGGCGGGAGGAGGCAGTGGATCAATTATTCTCATAATTGATGTTTCTCTCCCTCTCCCTGCCTTGCTGAAATCAATAAAAACATTTTTTTGAAAAGCAAAGATCAGCCCTAGCTGGGTTGCTCAGTGGATAGAGCATCAGCCAGCAGAATGAAGGGTCCCAGGTTCAATTCATGTCAGGGGCACATGCCCTGGTCCCTGGCTCGATCCCCAATAGGGAGTGTTCAGGAGGCAGCTGATCAATGGTTCATTATTGATATTCCTATTTTTCTCCCTCTCCCTTCCTCTGAAATAAACATAACTTTTTAAGAAGCAAAGATCAAGTGTCCCAATAGCGTGTTTCCCAGTGATCAATTGCCAAACATGTGGCAACAAAGCTGTTTTAGAGTCAACAGAAAATGCAACCCCATCCAACGTCCTGTGGGTCAAGAACCTCGCCTTTCACAATGTCTCGCTATCATCCGAATTTCACGTACTATCTCTGCCCCGTCCAATCTTAAAACGCAAGGAAACTCGGCCCATCAAAGCCCCTATGGGACGCCTGAAACTCTCAATTACATCCTCTTTCCCGCTAGCCAGCAAGGGTCCTATCTTGGGACAACTTTTAAACACAACCCTCTCATTTTCGGGGTGCAAAGGAGCCCGAGAGGCCTGGGGGGACATCTGAAACATTAGAGGAAATTAAAACCAGCGGAGCCACCTCACCCCCAGTAGACAAGCTGAGCAAGTGTGCCCAGTCCCTTATGAAAACAGATCACCTCAATGTCCCAAATCAATTTTTTAAAATTCAACACAATAAAAATGTAACAATATAAATGTTTTTTTTTTAATTCAATAAATGGGGAGCTCTTCAGAGCCTGTGAGTTGGGTGTGAAGTCAGTTCCTGGGAAGCCCGGTTCGGTGGTGAGGCCTCGAACCTGGGTTTCACTGGAAGAGCAAAGCTGTTTACTTGGCGGCAGGAGAGGCCATTGTTTCCCAGGCGCCTCGGGCTGGGAGGCCCCAACGCTAATGGGAGCAGAACCTGACCAATCGCACAAACCCCGCATTGCCCGAGGGGCTTCGGGACACCGCCTTTGTGGGAGGAAAGGATCTATTGTCTAAGATTATCACCTAATTAGCGGTAACCAGGTGGTAATTACCTGCGCCAGGTGTGGATTAGGAGTCTAATGACTTCTCACATTTGCAACAAGCTGTGAGCTACCGGGGGAACTAACTTAACCCGCCAAACCCTGGGCCACAGCGCTTCCTATTGAGACTCTAGGCGGCTCTAAAAAGAGCCTTTGGGTTTCCGTGTTGGTGGGAAGGACCGAGCTCAGGCGCGCTCCCCGCGGATGCGGCGCGCGAGCTGGATGTCCTTGGGCATGATGGTGACGCGCTTGGCGTGGATGGCGCACAGGTTGGTGTCCTCGAACAGCCCCACCAGGTAGGCCTCGCACGCCTCCTGCAGCGCCATGACGGCCGAGCTCTGGAAGCGCAGGTCGGTCTTGAAGTCCTGCGCGATCTCGCGCACCAGGCGCTGGAACGGCAGCTTGCGGATCAGCAGCTCCGTGGACTTCTGGTAGCGCCGGATCTCGCGCAGCGCCACGGTGCCGGGCCGGTAGCGGTGCGGCTTCTTCACGCCGCCCGTGGCCGGCGCGCTCTTGCGGGCCGCCTTGGTGGCCAGCTGCTTGCGGGGCGCCTTCCCGCCCGTGGACTTGCGCGCCGTCTGCTTAGTACGAGCCATTCGGAAGACAGTGCGGGGAGCCCACTAACTGATAAAGAGAAATAGGAAGCGGAGCGAGCCCTTATATACCCACAAACCCATGCTGATTGGCTGTGCGCTTTTTCAAAAGCCCCGCGCAAAGAAGCCATTGGCTAAAATGGAACAGGTGATTGGTGAATTACTAGACAGCTGATGAATTGCTCCGCACTCAGATCTGTTAAACGCTGATTAAAAAATATACATAGAAATTAACTTTATAAATTTCTTTGTTGTATCTCAAATTGTAGATAAGGAACCACTTGGGGACCCTGGGAAGCTGCTAATCCTGATTGGGTCTGTCTTGGGTCAGAGGGCTGTGAGGACCACGCACTGAGAACAGATTCACTTGTATTGGGTTTTTCCTGAGACTAGACCAGTGACCGCAGGCAAACTCCAGGCTACCATCCGCACGCGCCTCCCGCGGGGGAGATTTTCTGACCTGTGAACTGAAGCTCTTTATCTCAAAAACCTTAAGTCCTTTTCCCGGGGACTCATTCAAGCACAGGAGCCACAAGTACCCAAGGCAGTTAACGCCCGATGCATAAGCTGCAGCGACTACGGAGAAAGGTGGTTAATAACCTCCAGGACGGGGAGAGATAGCACCAAAGCCTGCTCTTTCTATGAGGAAATGTGTGGCTCTGAAAAGAGCCTTTGGGTAGCGCAGAAGGCAGTAGGTTGTGGGCACTTGGTTTACTTGCCCTTGGCCTTGTGGTGGCTCTCGGTCTTCTTGGGCAGCAGCACGGCCTGGATGTTGGGCAGCACGCCGCCCTGCGCGATGGTCACCTTGCCCAGCAGCTTGTTGAGCTCCTCGTCGTTGCGGATGGCCAGCTGCAGGTGGCGCGGGATGATGCGCGTCTTCTTGTTGTCGCGGGCCGCGTTGCCCGCCAGCTCCAGGATCTCGGCCGTCAGGTACTCCAGCACGGCCGCCAGGTACACGGGCGCGCCGGCCCCGACCCGCTCCGAGTAGTTGCCCTTGCGGAGCAGGCGGTGGACTCTGCCAACTGGAAACTGCAGGCCGGCCCGCGAGGACCGCGTCTTGGACTTGGCGCGCGTCTTGCCGCCCTGCTTTCCGCGTCCAGACATGATGCACCGACAAGCTTCACAGGAAGTACTGCGGGAGTGCGGGCGGCCCTTTTTATAAACGTTTTTGGGCGCGAAACATATGTCATAGTTTAGGGCTGCGGCTTCATCTTAGCCAATCAAAATGCAAATTTGGCATTCTTTCGTTCTGATTGGATAAAGCTCATTTTTTTAAAAATGTTTTTGTGAATAACCACCAATCAGACACAGATCTGTAATTTATCACTTAATTTGCATACGAGGCTCTTTATAAAAGGGATATGTTGGGCCCCAGTCTTAATTCTTTCTCTACTTTCCCTGAGTGCCTTAGCAGTTCTTTTTGCCATGCCCGAGCCCGCCAAGTCCGCGCCCGCCCCGAAGAAGGGCTCCAAGAAGGCGGTGACCAAGGCGCAGAAGAAGGACGGCAAGAAGCGCAAGCGCAGCCGCAAGGAGAGCTACTCGGTGTACGTGTACAAGGTGCTCAAGCAGGTGCACCCCGACACCGGCATCTCGTCCAAGGCCATGGGCATCATGAACTCGTTCGTCAACGACATCTTCGAGCGCATCGCGGGCGAGGCGTCGCGCCTGGCGCACTACAACAAGCGCTCCACCATCACGTCCCGCGAGATCCAGACGGCCGTGCGCCTGCTGCTGCCCGGCGAGCTGGCCAAGCACGCCGTGTCCGAGGGCACCAAGGCCGTCACCAAGTACACCAGCTCCAAGTGAGGCGCCGCGGCCCGGCTCCCGACCCCAAAGGCTCTTTTCAGAGCCACCCACAATGTCTGAAAGATCTGTAACTCCACATCCGGTGCAAATATTTAAGGCAAGGAACTTGCCTCTCCCTGGTCCTGCCTGTAAAAGTGATCTACGCAACCTGGGGTGTTGGTTACTGTGATTGGCAGCAAAGGAAAGGTGGCCTCGGTCTGGTTTTTCACTGAAAGTGCCCCTGAGTTTTTTCTAGAAACTAAAATGGCTCGTCTTCGGCCATCCTGTGGAGGTTTACATTCAGCTGGTATCCAGGGTTTAAAGAGCTGCAGGAGTTGCTGAGAGCTGGGAGAAAGTGTCCATTTTATGTAAATTTCCCGGCTGCGGGCAATTCCCTTGCAGAGCTCCGACTGAATTGCATCTCTGACCAGTTTCACTCACGCCCCAAGGGCTCCCAGCGTTCCTAACCCTTGTCTAGAGCTTTGGGGTTTTTTGTGTGTTTCCCCCCCACCCCCATTAAGTTTCCATCTCCTAGGACTTTTTTCTAAGGTTTTGCAGGATTTAACATCTGTGTGCTCACAGATCAGTGCCTGTCACTGATCTTATCCTACAATCGCCACAGACGGGATCTCCCATTTACAGGGGAAGGACCGCGCGACTTGGAATCAAGTTGTCAGGACCGTTTCCACCATTTGTCAGACTTTTTCTCGGGGAAGAGGCTGGTTATAGGGATGGGGGAGCCGTGGAAGGAAAGTAGGTGGTTAGAATCAGAGGAACGTGGACATGGCCAGGAGACACGTGTTCTCTGAGGCCCAGCACAATCCTGGCAGCTAAAGTTCCTTTAAAGTAGACGCCAAGGGGGGAATGTAGGGTCGCCTGGCAGCCAGTCGAACCCAGAACTGCGGTGGGAAGGGGAAATCGTGGCCGACGGCAGAGTGAATCCGAGCTTAGAGAGCTCACTTTCTACTTAGGAGCAATGTGGGGCGTCACGTCTTTTCCCTGAAATGCCTCTGTCCCTGTTCCTGTGAACTTGAGTAGTGACGGGTGTGCAATGGACTTTGTGAAGAAAGGCCCCTGCAGCCCACGTATTATGAAGGCATTTATTTCTTCCTCTCCAAAGCACGTTTAAAATACTTTTTTTAAAAAACAGTGTGTTCATAAAAAGAAAAAAGCCGAGTCCCTGCTTTATTCATGGTAAAAAGAGAACTTGTTCACATTGTGAAATGCGTTTGCTTTTCGGCCCGAAGCTCAGAAACGTGCTTGTTGCCAGGCAGGCAGCATGTTGACTGTGCCTCTTTCCAGGATAAACGCTGTGCTCACAGAACATTTTCCTGTAGTGACCTCACCCCTTTCTTACTGTAGTCTGAAAGAAAGAAAGAAAGAAAGAAGGAAGGAAGGAAGGAAGGAAGGAAGGAAGGAAGGAAGGAAGGAAGAAAGAAGAAAGAAAGAAAGAAAGAAAGAAAGAAAGAAAGAAAGAAACAAAGAAACAAAGAAAGCTAGAGTAGCTTTTAATTTGTTTTTCAAAAATCCTATATAATTAATCTGTAATATGCAAATTGACAAGATGGCTGCATCCACAGAGGTTCCCAGAACGAGCTGAAATGAGCAATCAGCAGGGACCTGCGGCTGCATGGCATTGGGCCCAGGCAAAGGACTGGAGGCTGCACCCCCTGCCTGCACCCCCTGCCTGAGGTCCCCCATGAAGCTCCTGGGACCTCAGACCCACCCCACCGCCTCCCCCCTTTCCCCGCCCCGGCACCATGCCAGGGGACCTGAGGCTGTGCTCCCCACCCAGCAGGGCTTGACTGGGTGGTGCTAGCCGGGTCTGGGTCTCACGCGATTTCAAGGTGCACGCAGGTGGACAGGAACCTGATTCTGGGTCCCACAGAATACCACAGACTCTGACAGGAGGAATATTTTCATATTCATTTTACTAATTTTCTTTCATCTCTGACATTTCTATTATAGAGAAAGGGCAAATAGCAATATTGAAATATTTCCTCTAATTAATTCCCTTTCAATGTGCATAAATTTCATGCACCCACCAGGCCATAGTAGTAAATAAAGCAGACGTATTCAACAAGAAAAAGCAGGAGCTAAGGGGGAAAGGCAGGACACAGCCCCGTCTGCCTGTTTGAATGCCGAGTTCCGGCAAATTACTTAAACCTTCTGTGAGCATCACCTTGCGTTTAAAATAAGAATAAAATGAGTAATGACCACGTGCCTTGCTGGGTGATCAATAAAAGATCTCTGGTAAAGCTCTGGGACAGTGTCTTAGGGCAGAGTCCTCCCAGATGTTAGCTGTATCTACAGCCTGTGGTCCCACTGGATCTCAGTCCCGACACCTAGAACATTCGACATCAATTAGAGTTCCTTGTGTGGCAGCTCGAACAGCGCAAACCCCTTCCTTCTGTAACCAGACCACCGAGGGGTCCGAGCTGCCTGCCACCACTTCAGCCAACTCAGCAGAAAGAGGGCTGCATGCTATCTGAGCGTTTATTCCACTCCTGTGGGCCGGCCAGGAGAGCAGCTGATCCTCCTCAAAAATCTGCTCTGTCCCCACCCTGAGCCAGCTGTTCATATCCGGTCGAAGGGCAAAGATTACGTGGGGAAGTAGGGATTACAGGCATGGGATACTCATTGCAGGTTACAAGTCATGTGGGCTGGGGGGGTCGCCGAGAGTGGGTGCCTGGGGGCACCTGGGACCAGAGCACAGGTAACGGGCTGGTGCTGCTGTAAAGAGCAGGTGCCTCCCGGATGAGATGGTGTTGGCCTCCCGCTTGTAAATCTTTCCAAAACAGAATTAGGCCGAGATCTGCGTTCTCGGGATCCATCTTCTCACATCAGAAGCTGAGGGAGCCACGGGAAGAGGAAAGCCAGCTTCGGACTCGGGGCTCTGAAGTGGAGTTCCCCACGTGGGTTCCTGGAGGCCCGGGAACCCCTGGAGCCCCAGGTAAAGCGTGGGAGGTGCGTGGGGGAGGACGTGGGATCCATCACTGGGTCCCCAGAGCGATGTTCCCACGGCTCGGACATCCACTCCTTCCTTGAGCGGAAGTTCCGATTTTATCGCCTACTCCTTACGGAGGGCATTTCCCCGCCTCTGCCAACAAGGATAATAGTTCTGCCTGTTCTGCAAATCTCTCAAGAAGAAACTGTCAGATAGAACAAGGGTCTGGAGGTTCTTACTGCAAGTCATTCTTGCTAAACCAGAGAAGGCCGCATGGTGTGGATGAGGTTAGCCCACCACAGGGAAGAAAGCGGCATTTAGTTCACCTGGCTTAGAAAGCCACGTGCAATTGACAAAGTGTACAGAAGCCTCCCTTCCGGGAGGCACAGCTTTGGAAATGACTGGCTGCCCCCCTGCACTTGTCACAAGTACAAACTAAAACGGGCCCTGACCGGTGTGGCTCAGTGGATAGAGCAGACTGAAGGTTCCCAGGTTCGATTCCCGTCAAGGGCTCTTCTGGGGACCTGCTCCACTCTGCTCTCCTTCTGCCCCCCTCTGCTCCCCTCTGCCTGCCCTCTGCCCTCTGCCCCCCTCTGCCCCCCCTGCTCCTGGGCGGAGCCACAGCACCTCCTGGCCACCTCCCCGCTCTCCTTCCTGGTCTCCCTTCTACTTGGAGCTTCACTTTCTCCATTTTCTTCCCCACTCATCACCTTGCCGGCAAGGCCTTCCATGGCCAAACCACTTAAAAATAAAGAAGTAAATAAATAAAATAAAAAGATCGCCTACCCATGTTTCGGTGATCTTCATAGCACATAGCACCGAGCAAATCTGACACACTTTTTCTTGTGTTGTTGGTTCCCCCCAGTAAATACTGGCTCTATGTCTACAGAAATATTTCACTCACTGCTATAGTTCCGTGTCTGGCTCATGCTATTTGCTCGATCTTTTTGTTTGTTCGTTAAATTAACATCCTAAATTTATCTCCTCAAACCGGTGCCTTAGCTCCAATAACATCTGATGTTTTCCCAATTTAAGTACTGGAGTCCATATCCTCAAAATAGATGACTGAAAATAACACTGATTTTCCTGATCTCAAAGTGATGGGGGGGGGGGGGGAAGCTTATGATAAATGGAGCACCTGAATTAATCTGAAAGATAATCATCATTTTTAAAATTCTGAAACACATCTATATATAATAGATGTAAAATATACAAAAAGCCAGTGTCCGTGACGACCAGAGCGACCAAGCGACGGGTCACCACGAGGGGCCCTGAGCACCTCCGGGTCCCTCCCCCGCGGCCCCGGGGCTCCGAAAGCGGCAGGAGGGCGGGGCCTCTAGTGTCGCCGGACAATCAAACCGGAGCGCGATGGCGGCTCTAACTGCTGGCTTTTAGGGTAATGGGGGGGGGGGGGGGCCTGAAACAGGCCTTCAGTGGAGGAAAGAGAAGTTGCTGAAAATGGGCCACTTCGCCCCGAAATCGGAGAAGAGTCTGAGCGCGCAGCCGGTCACCGGCAGGAGCCTGAAGGAGGGAGGAGGAAGGAGGGAGAGGGAGGAGGACGAAGGGAGACGGAGCAGAACCCGCCCCCGCGCGGGGGAGCCCTCCTCCTCGATGCACCGAGGCCTCCAGGCTGTTAGGCGCCGATCGGCGCGCCGACCGCTGAGCCGGGAACGTGACTCTCCAGCTGCTGGGCTCGGGCTCCGGGAGGGCCCGGTCTGAGAACGGCCCGTTTGACCCACCGACCCCGGAGGCCGGGGCTGGAGGGGGTGACGGCGCGATGTGCGGAAGAAGCGGGGGGACTGGGGAAGGCAAAGTCCGCAGACATGCCTGACGGCCCAGGCAGTTTTAAGCAGTTTTACCGGGAATTTTTTAATGGATCCAAGTTCTCACCGGGAGATTGCAGGCTCACATGCTCGCAATTTGCATTTACATTCTCACTGGACAAGTCAAAACCAGCTCAGCGGAGCTTCCGGCCACCACCAGCGCACTGTCCTTGACAACCAGTGAGTTTTGAAGGGAACACAAGGCACCGCCAGGAAAGGAGGGCCCCAAAGGGACACCCGAGTGGAGACCGGTCTTGGACTCACCCAGGTCACACACCGAACAAAAGCACAAGCAGCGCTCAGCTCCTCCGCGAGGGCGTGGGCGGCCCTGAAAAGGGCCTTTGGTTTTGCGCAGGAGCCGGCGGGCGGGGAGCGGGCTCAGCCGCCGAAGCCGTAGAGGGTGCGGCCCTGGCGCTTGAGCGCGTACACCACGTCCATGGCCGTGACCGTCTTGCGCTTGGCGTGCTCCGTGTAGGTGACGGCGTCGCGGATCACGTTCTCCAGGAACACCTTGAGCACCCCGCGCGTCTCCTCGTAGATGAGCCCGGAGATGCGCTTGACGCCGCCGCGCCGCGCCAGGCGGCGGATGGCGGGCTTGGTGATGCCCTGGATGTTGTCGCGCAGCACCTTGCGGTGGCGCTTGGCGCCGCCCTTGCCCAGGCCCTTCCCGCCTTTGCCGCGACCAGACATGGTGACAGAGATCAGACAGACTCCGAACAGACTGAGCCACAGAGGCAGCCCTCTTATATACGCGGAGTGCGGACCTAATTGAAAACAGAAGGCGCGCATGAACTTCCGCCGGATATAGGCCCCACGCCTCACGACCTCGCGCCGGGTTACGTCACCGTGAATGGAGTCCCGCCTCCTGCGTTACGTCGGAGGATTTCTAGCGTTAACTGCTGGAAACTAACGAAATTGACCATTTTTTTTCGCGTAGAAACACGGGAAACGGTATAATAATTTATAAACTTATTAGAGCCAGACTGACGACATGCGAGGGAGCAAGATCTCAAGTGCTCAGGAGGACAGTTTTGTAGCTTCTTTTCCGCACTTGCCATGGGGGCGGATTACACCAACGCGGGGGAAAGAAGGTGCGGGAGAGAACCGCACCCCGGAGGGCAGCTATTCTCTGAGGAGCTGGGAACCAGAGGGGGTTCAGGGCCTGTTGATCTAGATGCAAAAGGACAATGGGCAGGGCTCGCTTAAGGCAAGATAACCTCTCAGTGAACTGTCTGTGGCCCGACCACCCCGGGAGGTTACTTTCTTTCATGAATTTACCACAGAGAAGAAACCTTTTCCCTTCCCACGGGTCACACCGGTTGGTTGGAGACCGTAGCGCCGGCCCCAGATGAGTTGGCTCCTGGGCTGGGCACTGCGGTGGAGCGGAGTCCGCTTGACTCTCCGGCCCACGGGGAGGTCCAGTGGGAAACAGGCAGGTGGAGCCCGTGGGGCAGACTGGGAAGTCTGAGCAGCCTAATCACCGAAACCCACCGGGCAGAAATTCTATACCCTTAATCTTGCCCCTTTGATCCCTGTCTCGTGCGTTGTTTCACTAGTTTCTTGCAGAACAGAATGCAGGCGTTCGCCAACCAGAAGGTGGGAGAGGTCTATCTGGCCCTGAATTCAGAACCGAACACCAGAATCTCTGAGACCCCGGGTAGAGGCCCCAAACGACGCCCCCTCTCAGCTGGAAGTAGCTACTGAAGGTTGACCTTCGTCCCCTGACCTTGCCCGGACTCTCAATTTTTAAAAAAATATTAACAGAATCCTGGAATGATAGATCTTCCCTTCCTCCAATTGATGGACAGATGTAAACTCCACCTGCATCCAGACCTGCCTGAGCACTGAACCACCCATCAGCACCTGCCAAATACCCTAAGCCCCCGATTCCTAAGTCCCGAGGCCCCTAATCATAGGCCTCACCTGAAACCACCGATCAGCGTGTGCCGAGTGCCCTAAGCCCCGTCCCCTCTCTTTCCTCCCCTTCAAAGTGCATGGACCCCCGGCCCTCGCTCTCTTCCGCTCTCTCTGGAAGCAGCCGGCAGCGGTACTCTTCTCTTCAGTAAAGCCTGTGTCCTGGCATCTCCAGCCCCACTCTGTTTCATCTTTTAGAAATAAAAGAACGTGTTTGGACTCCGAGTGGGAGGCACAGGAAAGGAGGGAGGGCCTGTAGCCGCCGGGGACCTGGCCTCCGGGAGCAGGGGAAGCTCGGGTCGGTGGCTGGGCCGGAGCCACGAGGAGTCAATCAGGTGGGACCGGGAGACAGAGCCGCCTGTAGCTCAATGTACTTACTTCCAGCTTCACTGGCGGCCCGTCATCCGGCCCCGCCCCGAATCTGCTTGTAATAACTTGCCCACGGTTTTGCTTAAATCTCTGACCGCGGCATCGCGAGACACGGCCCCGGGAGGAAAAACCTCGGCTCACGGTTCAGGTTTTCACTGTTTCCAATCAACCCCCACCCTCACCCCACCTCAGCCCCGGCTGGAGTCTAAAAACTGTCACTTCCCTCTCGTCCCTTCCGCTCCACACATACCCCCAAACCAGGGAAATCCAACCAAAAGCGTGTTCTGCCTGAAGGTGGGGCCACGGAAGCCCGGGTCCCTCGCGGCGAGGTTATTTCCTCCCCCGCCCCCCGTGTATAAAGCCTGTAGTTCTCATTTCACTATCTAGCCACCCTCACCTCTGCGCCCAGTCACCCCTGTGTGTTACTGTTTACTTTTCTGTTCCTACTTTTGTCTTCTCTTTGACTCTGGTAGCGACACTATTCCAAACAGAATTGGCAACTTATGGAAGTGAAAGTATTGGGATAAATAGGTGCTCTCCCGCGAGCCGTTTCTAGAGATGAACGTGGCTCGCCTGTGAACAGAGTTAAGTGGATGATTAGAGAGCCCGCAAGGCACAGAGCAGAGTGGCGCAGCGGAAGCGTGCTGGGCCCATAACCCAGAGGTCGATGGATCGAAACCATCCTCTGCTAAACGTGTTTTTTTTCCCCTCTTTTAAAATTATGCAGCTTATGTATATAACAAGGAAAGAAAACAAGAACAAACGAGCCAGTAGAGCCAATACCCCCAGGATGTGTGATTTAAGAAAAGTAAGGAAATGCCTTCTGCGTGCAGAGCTTGAGGTCACCGACACTCGCTAACAAGCTCGAAAGGAGCCCTTCTAAACACAATCTTTCACTAATATCGCATTATTGCGCCAAACACCCCTCGGAACATTATAAAGTCTGTAAATATCTTGTTCATCGAATGAGCTATTGAAACACGTTATTGTGTAGATGTGTGTATTGAGTGTAAATATTGCTAACAGTCAAAATTTTTTTACTCCTGCCATAGTGGGTTATTTTAACTTATTAATATATGGACGCCTCAAAAAAAAAAAAATAGTAACAGTCCTGGACCTCTTTATACCCCCGAGAAACGCTGAGAAAAACATTCTTTTCTTCAAATGGATAGAGACATCGTGTGAAAGTGCTCTAATCTCACATTATAGCAATTACGGGCAATAGGATAGTGAAGACCGTGGCGGGGAGCGGATGGGAGGAGGGGGAGAAAGGGGGCGGGGGGGCGGGGGGGCGGACAATCGGAGATATCTGTAATACTAACAACAATAAATAAATAAAATTTTAATGAAAAAAAAATCAGAGAAAGCACCAGAAGAGCATGGCAGGATGGCTAGAGGAACACTCGTGAGGATGCTTCCTGAGAGTAAGTCCCCCTTACGGGTGCGGTTACCATGACAACTCTCCAGACAGCTGGCCCAAGTCTCTAGAGACTGAACGTAGTGAATGTGAGTGAGTTGATAAGAAAGAAATAAGTTCGCTTATTAGAAAATATCCCTTGATGCAGACAATATGCAATACTTTGGCATCGCTTAGATGCCCAAAACTCCAGTTTTCTGCTCAGCAGGGATTGACTGAAATGATTTTTCTTTCCATAGAGTCCCCATATGCGACAAGGCTTAAATGACTGTCAGTTTCAACGTTTCGCCAATCTCGACTCCGTGGCCCCAAACGATCTCATAGCGCCTAGAATTTCCATCTTTTAAGACGAGAAAGCCCAGGCGACAATAGCCTTTGCATCACGACGTGATGAAGGACTCAGGACCCAGCTGGAAGAAAGCTCATTATGCTTTTACATATTCCAGCAACTCTAGGTTGCTAGGGACCACGTGGCCTAACGGATAAGGCGTCTGACTTCGGATCAGAAGATTGAGGGTTCGAATCCCTTCGTGGTTAGCTTCTAGCTCCTGCTTAGCAGAGGTATCATTTTGCCAACAGACTGCCCTAATCCATAAAAGAGGTTCAGGAGTAGCACTCTCACCAATTTTTTTTCACATGCTTTTCTTTTCTCTTCTTTTTTTTCTTTCCTTTTCTTTTCTTTTCTCTTTTCTTTTCTTTCTTTCTATTTTTTTTTTAAAGTTCTGGCTGCTGTGGAGTCTATGTTAATGTTTTTCACTCTTCCCCTCCTGTTCCACCTTCCTTTCTTCCTTCCATTGTATCCTCATCAAATGAATGAAAACAGCCTGCATTCTATCCTAAATTACACAGCAGAAATAGTAAGACCATTAAAAGAACCCAGGTATTTACAGAAGTGTGTATGCAACAGGAAGACAGAGAAGGTAGCTGTGCAAAATGTACAAACACACATTTTTGTGCCTGCATAACTCATGTTAATAATAATGTGTAGGATGAAGAGAAGGTAATTTCCTGATGAAACATGGTCTTTGGTTTGGGATCTAACTATTGGTTCAAACATGGGGGGCCAGGAGTGCTCTTGCCAGGTCAAGGCAATGAATAATTAAAACAAGGTAGAAAACAACAAACAGGTAGCTATGGGCCCTTTCTTTCCCAGCCTGTTTCTTAGGGCTCCTGTCTGACTGGTTTCCACTAGTCCTCCGTGAAGTCCAGATTGTACAGAGAACAAAGAGGCTTCATTCCTCTTTCCTTCCCTCTTTGGTACTTAGGGAGAAAAACAAAGCCTTTGGGTTTGAGAAAGGTGATGGGCAGAGGCAAAATTCCCCTGATTTACCTCCTTACTTTGGGACAATACAAGCGATGCCACATTTAAAACCCTCCTTTAACGTGAATTAAAAGGAGTGACACTTACCCAGGTCTTTTATGCTGTTGGCTTCATGGTGTGATGTCTTCCTGTGACCTCATGACTTCTAACCTGTAATTAGTATCCCCTGCCTGTAATCCCTACTTCCCCACGTAATCTTTGCCCTTCGATCTGATATGAACAGCTGGCTCAGAGTGGGGACAGAGCAGATTTTTGAGGAGGATCGGCTGCTCTCCCGGCCGGCTGGCAGGAGGGGAATAAGCGCTCAGATAGCATGCAGCCCTCTTTCTGCTGAATTGGCTGAAGTGGTGACAGGCAGCTCGGACCCCTTGGTGGTCTGGTTACAGAAGGAAGGGGTTTGTGCTGTTTGCACTGCCAGACAAGGAAATCCTAATTGATGTCAAATGTTAGGAGGCTTTTGGTCCTCCTGCCCTGTTCTAGGCCTTGGGACTCCGATCCAGTGGAAGTCGCCCATTACAGGTAATTGAAAAACAGACACTTAAAGGCAGGGGGAGGGATTGAAACTTCACCCAAGCATACAAGTCTTTGAATGTTTACAGTGTGCGAACTTGGAGAAACAGGATTTAAAAGGCTGGGGCCCATCCTGAAAACCTTATTCTCACAGAAGGTAAAGTGGGGTAAGACTGCTCAGGCAACCCTCGCGTCCATAATTACCTCTGGTTCTTTGTTGGAGGAAAAAGCAACATATACGGAAAGCATATCAGGTATGACCCAATTCCTGAAGACTCCACTTGGGCTTGCAGTCAGGATCATCACCTCCCAAGCTTTTAGTTCCAAGATGAAATGGGTCATAATGGGTGAGCCATCTTTGAACCATAGTCTAAGCCATCTATTGTTAGGTGAAATTCAAACACAGGTATTGTTTTAAAAATCCACGCTTCTTGGGTCTCAATCTTCATGGGAGTCCGCTGATTCTGACACGTGTGCTTCAGAAGAAGTTTCCAGGTCTCAAAAGTTGCAATCCCAGTCTCAGAGAAATTGATCTCTACCCTGTGTGCCTGGCCACTGGTTAAAAGGGGCGACAGGTGAGATTTTGATGGGAGAACGAGCTAAAATTAAGATGTCCATGGCAGAAAAGAATCAAAGAAGGGAGAAATCAATAGAAGCTGGGGGCCTCGGGAAAAATCTTCGATTTAAATTAATTCCAACTAAACTACAAGGAGAAGAGGCATACTTTCCTTTGCAGATCCACGGGAAAGGGACCCTTGATCTGAGTCTTGGCAATGGATTTTACCAGAAGGGAGCAGAGACTCCCCGGGCGGAAGGAACCACACGATCAAAGGCACAGGATGAGGCAGTTTCTACCCCTGAGGGGCAAAGGCTGAGTTTGATGGGGAAGTTGGAAGGGCAGGTACCGATAAGGTGTCCAGACCTTATCAGAGAACCTTGCACTTGGAAACGTGCCTGAGATTTAAAAGGCAAAGGATCTGAGACAAACTGCCGACACAGGGCACTGAGCGAAGAAAGGGACCAACGGCCTCCTTGAATCACCCGCAGCACCGGAAGCACTACATCGGCCCCGGAGATTCTGACTCAGCGCTCAGCGTGCATTTTCCGTGCTTTGCTTACAGATCAATAACCAATAGCCCGCTCAGAAAACACCAAAACAGCCCTCTTGTAACTAACAAAACAGCCCCTTGTAATAACAAGCGCTAAAATCTTGCGCCCACCACAGACAGAGGGGGGTCCTGAAGCGACGAGGATGGGATTCGAACCCACGCGTGCAGAGCACAATGGATTAGCAGTCCATCGCCTTAACCACTCGGCCACCTCGTCAGCTACGTAAAACCTCCTGGTAAATATTACATTTCTTCATTCCATTGAATTCTTTGGCATTTCCCCTTATTTTATTGTAAATCTTCATTCAGGAACATGACGTGTTTGTTTGTCTGGATGTCCCTCCTGCTTTGATTAAAGAAGAAAAATAAAGAAGAGCTTACAGTCCCGAAATGGAGGGGTAGGTTGAGGATGTGAACTTGAATAAAAATGACAAAATACACTTCCAAAGAGAAGTGTGGAGTCTAAGAAAACCAGAACTCACAAGAACAGAAAGTGGTTATAAGGGATTTCCTTGGGGGTGGGAAACTGGGGAGACGTGGGTCAAGGAATGAAAAACTTACTGTTGGAAGTTAGAGTCCGTCTGGAGATGTACAGCACACACCGAGAATAAGCTACAGGGCTGGGTTACAGGCTTTAAAGTTGCTAGGAAACTGTATCTTAAATGTTCTCACCACAAAAGACAAGAAATTATGGGATGGGATGGAATGCTACTGTGGTGATCACACTGCAATACACAGATGTATCCCATCCAGACGTTGCACACGTTAAACTCACACAATGTTGTCAATCAGTTATGTCTCTTTGTTCTGAAGTCCTTTCTGTAGCATCTGTCTGGTGTTGGGAGATTTGGGGAGGGCGCGAGGAAACCCGGCTTTGCGCTGGGTTGGATGCTGTGAGAAACTCTGTGGTTGGGACGAAGGTAAGAACATAATGAACCCAAAGCTGTGAGACTAGTGGTCCCTCGTATTAGATGAAAGGAGATGTTTGGTATTGGTGTGGTTTGCACAGTGAGCTTTTGTCTGTTCCTAGACGAGATTATAAATTGTTTCGTTGTTTGTTTGCTGTTTCTGTCTTCTTTCATTTGGAATGCCCTTCTCTGCTGGCTCTGTTCTGTGGGCCTGTTTTTGTTCACAAGAAGAATCCCCTGGCCGAGCAAATATTTAGAACAGCGAGGCACTGAATGCTGCTGATGGGGGTGGGGGGCGCGAAGTTCAGGTGTGAGGGAGGGAGTGTCTTTTCAGGCCAGAGTGCACCCTTGGTTTGAGAACCTTATGTGCATAGGCCAGGGTGCACCAGGGGTGGAGGGATAAAACAACAGTGGAATGGCAGCAGGCCCCACCGAGATTTGAACTCGGATCACTGGATTCAAAGTCCAGAGTGCTAACCATTACACCATGGGGCCTCGCAAGAAGAACCTGAAATGTCTATAAATATTTCTTATGGAGTTTGTCATTCTTACTATTTTGTGAATTATAACTTTAGTTTAAAACCATATTTATTAAATTTAAAACCAGCTATATAAAGAGAGAGACAATAAAATGCACAGGAAGACCTGGGCCCACAAGCACCACAAACTTCTCAAGATCGAGTGCGTGTTAGAAATGGATAGAACCCGAACCCAGAACTGAGGTCCCAGATGTGAAACGCGAATACTTAGACATCTTGAAGAAAATCTAATTTTCCAAGATCTGAAGGGGCCTCTGGCCTAACCAAGGCGGAGGGACAGGAGAAGGCAGGTGTGGAACCAAGAAGGCATGGTGATCAGAACGGTGAGATTGGGATGGGTGTTCCTCCAGGTGTAAAGGCGATCTGAAGGTAAAGGAAGGCACTAAAAGTACAGCAGGTCCCACCGAGATTTGAACTCGGATCGCTGGATTCAAAGTCCAGAGTGCTAACCATTACACCATGGGGCCAACGACCGCTGGTACCCTGGCAAGCTTTTCCAAAGGCTTTGGCAGTGCGTCCTGTGCCTCTCAATAGGATGACTCCTTTCCTTTGAATGTTCCATGGGTCCGGGAGAAAAGGCGAAGCTAAGCAGAGCTCACTTTTGTGTGGAATTTTCCTCCCGTAACAGCGCTCTTTGCAAAATCAAAACTATATTTCTGGGTAATTTTAGAGATTATGAAAAAACTTTCCCCTCTTTAAGTATTTTTACTTCCTTTCTGCCTTTCCTAATAGAATGCAAGTATAATAAAAGATAATTTTTATTATGTTTACTCTTTTCTATGTTACATATACAATTAAGTGTATGTATTAGAAAGAGTTAGGGAGCAAAACTATTTTTAATTTTTAAAAAAATAAGCTTTAGCTTTGAAAATTATCTTTGTGGTACTTCCTCTAATTCTGGTTGCCGAGGTGGAACGATAAGAAAGCTCCAGAAGGAGGAACGGTTGGAAAATTCTTTTTGAAATGTTTCCTAATCATCAAACATGTTCACAGGAGAATACTGATGCATGGATGTGCCCACATTTGGGGGGAGAAAATCAAGTGGAAGAAGTTAGAGGCAGGCGAGGTTTCAGAACTCAGACTTGAGATGGACTGCTGATAGGGAGACAGCAATTCATAGAGAATTGGAGCCTGAGCATCTTTAGGGTGTAGGCTGAGAAATCCCTATGCGATCCCACAATCATTTTCAAAGGTTTTTCTCTAGCGATAGTTACACTAAGAGACTCGTACTACTGCTTCCAGTGTTATGGGAAAATAAAACGGTGTCTCGTGTTTTTTTAGTGTGTGTTTGAATTTCCACAGTTGGTCCAGCAGATGATGGAGTGCTGGGGGGAAAAAGTGAGATCGCGTAGTCGGCAGGATTCGAACCTGCGCGGGGAGACCCCAATGGATTTCAAGTCCATCGCCTTAACCACTCGGCCACGACTACAAGACTCCGACTACCGGCTAGATGAATTCCCATGAGGAATATTACCTTTCCTGTTCTAGCCCGGGGTTTCTGTTCGGCACCTGTGAAGATCGAGATGTCGATCATAAATTATTACAAATTGTAACAGGTTGACTATGAGATACACATTCCGATCTGTACCAGGTGTACATACCCTCAAACCTGAGATACTGAATCACCAGTATTGCCAGACTAATGGCTAGCATTTTCCGAAGTTGGAGAAGGAACACAGTATACCTGCAGTACTGGTCCTCTGTCCCTACCTGATAGTCCGTGATAAACTGAATTCAATCCCCTATCCTAAAATTTAAATTTGTATCAAAAGTACAAATCCAGATAGCAGAGGATGGTTTCGATCCATCGACCTCTGGGTTATGGGCCCAGCACGCTTCCGCTGCGCCACTCTGCTAGGATACACGTAGTTGCCTTTGAATTACTCTTTAAAAAAACAAGATCTGGCATTTTCCTGACCTCTAAGTAATTGATGAATAATTTGGTTGCCAATAAGAATGGAAAGAGTACATACATCGATATCCATATGTGGCTACACTCCAACTCCAAACACTAGCGGCTTAGAGTAACCCGGAAAGACTCCAATCCTCAGATCCGTGTTTACTCGGGCTCTGACAGAATGACGTTTCAGGTTATTGGGAAACCGAGCACATGCTACTTGGCATAATTTAAGACGAAATTACAAAAGGAAGGCTAACTGGTCTTTCTCAGCTCAGCCATCCCCGGATACCAGAAACATCACTACTTTAGGAGTTTGTTTTTCAATTTTCAAATGATTTTTATTTTTTAATCACAGTTGACATATATTAATAATTATATTAGTCCCGATAAATCTCGCATCATATTTTTTGACTGTTCAGTGATATGTTGCCCTGTAGCACTGGGAAGGAAAAAAAGGACGAGTTGCATTGGCCGGGAATCGAACCCGGGCCTCCCGCGTGGCAGGCGAGAATTCTACCACTGAACCACCAATGCTCCACAAGGAATGTGGGGTTTTTTTTGTCCTTCTGTTATACTGTCACGTTAAAACAAGATTTCATGTGGTTTTTTTTGTTTGTTTGTTTCTTAGGACTTTCTTAAATCCCATCCACTTTGATCAGTACATTTCTTATGCTGAAGAGATCCAGAATAAGCCACCGCTGTGGCAAAAAAATTATTTTGAGCTAAAGACATTTGAGTTTCTAAAATCCTTCTCTAAGAGCAGAGGTCCTTCCAAAAGAAAGCACTTGTCATAAAGCCCATCCCCTGAAGTAACTCTCATCTCCCCTTCTGAAAAATAAAAAATAACTTTCCCACCCTAAATTCTTGCTTGGAATCCCTGCAACAAAAGCAGAAGTTTGTTAACATGTATTTGACACATACACAAGGGAGAGGCCCAGGGAGACTAGTAAATCTGGAAGAGCAGCAGATGAAGGGGAGCAGAATTTACCACCCTGAAATATGCCTCTGACATAAGGATCATTTTAGGCTGATTATTTTTTAGAAACCACAGACACAGAAGAAGATACAAAAACCAAGTAGAAGTTACCTTTTTGTAAGAGACTTTTACATCTGTAGTGATGATGATGATGATTGATTGATTATGATATACATGTAGCATTTAAAAATGGAACTGGAGCTGCCACAGAGAGGAACTGTCTTGCCCGTTTTATGTCTCACACCTTTGGGTGTAACTGACCGTCCAACCTCAGAGGGAAGGCAGGGGAGGGGTGGGGATGGGGGGTAAGAGATCAACCAAAGGCCTTGCATGTATGCATATAAGCATAACCAATGGACACAGACTTAGTGGGGTGAGGGCATGT